CGTTTGGTGTAACTAAAAAAAATATAAAATAGAGATCACAAAGAATTTTTTTTTTTCTACGCTCATTGAAAAGATCCATCTTTTTTTAATATATATATATATATATATATCTTTTGGTCATGTATTAGTAACTCAGTTCAGATATAATAAAATCAAGTCAACAGTGTCCAAAGAAACCTCAAAATATCCTGGTTTTTTAATCACTCCTACATTAAAGGATCTTTGACTACTCGTTTGTCAAGGAAATTTTTTGGGCAAGGTTTGTACCCATGTCCGCTGTATTTACAAATATAATACGCTAAACTTTCAGCTGCACATTTGGATAAAGCTTGCTTTGATAACCAAAACTTAAGCAGAATTGTTGGCTGCTAAGGCTGCTTATCGTCCGAAATTATGACTTTGGGAGGTGGGTTAGGTTCAGTTGAAATGTATCTTGCTCTCAATTATTTATAAATTGCCTCCTAAGACTCTAGAGTATAGACCATGTATTGGTTAAACTTCTTATTTAGAGTAGGAATTGTGATTGAAAGAATTTTCCTAAGTTGTAGTGCAGAAGCTGTCCTTTGAAAGGCAGAATGTTTTGAAGGCTTGAAGGTAAAATTTAATAATATATATTATGTTGCATGGTTTAGTGGACGGACATACTAACTAATTCATTAACTTTATTTGATTTATCAGTAATTTCAATATGATCAACCACAAACCCATTTTTAGTCGGTTACAAAATTTTCCAATGATAAAGAATATATTATGTTTCTTGGATAATGAAAGAAAGCGGTTTAATATAATCTTAATAGACTTTTATGGACAAATTTCGTCTGGCAATCTCTTGACAAGATATAAGATTGCGTTATTTGATATTTAAAGTTGGAATAAACTCGTCCAGCAAATAATTATCAGATGAAATTTATAATGTCACGTCTTATTTTCTGAATAAAAATGGTAAGACGAACGATCAGATGCTGATATTGAAAGTATCAGATGTATTTAAAGGTGTATGTTTGAAGGTTAAAAGAAAATTTTAAAAAACCTCTAGAAAAGTATGTTAATTCTCAACTTTGTTGTTTTATAACAGATATTGGAACTAAGACCATCGAAAAACAGACTATTCAACAAAATTAACTCGTTCACAAGTTAGCTAATTTCAGTAACCTAATTATGATTATGATACTAGAAAATTCACGGGTAAATAGCAAATTATTTATTAAATTCTGAATTATATGCTAATTCTGTTCTAATAATACAATTCTTTTGATGTGATTTATACTTGTACTCAAATATTAAAAGTAAATTACTTTTTTCATTTTCGGTGTTAAATGAATTTTTTTTTTATAACCTAATTTTTCATACTGTATTTCACGTTAAAGTTGGATTCATAGCAGATTTCTCATTCACATTACTCGATGATTATTTATTTTCAAACTGGCAAAGCTTTCAGGAAATAACTTTTTTTAATAATATAATTGATTTTTAATCATATTAATACTAAAATTAGGACATACGCGTCCTTAAATAAAGTGATATAAATTCTTTTATTTATTTAAATTATTTCATCGAGGAAAAAAGTGCTATTAATCAATTTCTAGCAAATGAATTAACACTATGCTTAATTCATTCGGTTTATTTCCCTATTATTACTATGATTATGTTTTTTTTTAAGAATTATAACAAAGAAGATTTATGTAGAAAGTTATAATTTTCCCATAAAATTCTAATTGCGTTTCCTGCCTCTCCAAAAATCAGTGTTGGCAAATGAACTTGAAATGACCATTAAATGACCTCATTTTTATTATAAATTTCAAGTCTAAATGACCTTATAATTTGTATATTTGCAAAGTTAATTTCCACATAAAATTGTTTTAACCCACCATTATTTTTGTGTAAGGCACCATTAATTAATAGCTTTAATCTTAAAAAGTCTAAATTAAACAAAAAATTTTATTTGTGCAAAAACATATGTGGGAATTATTTTTTAGTTACATTTATATATTTTAATATTCTAGTCGTGACAATGGCAGAATTTTTGATAGTATTTCTCACGCTAAAAATAATTATTTTCCACCATTAATCTCACGATAATTAATCTTTTTAATCATAAATAAGATTATTCCTGGATTGGTATGGATTAAACCTAATCTTTTCATTTGGGTAATTTACGTATCATCAGTCATAAAAAATCTTGTTTCTAATATGTATGTTAGCAAAAAAAAAAATGATGAGCCTTCCCGAAATATATGAGCTTTAACCAACATGCATTTTTAGCATTATTTTGCATGGCACCCCAGATCCTTACTATCCTCCCCAAAAAAATTTTTTTTTCTTTTTGCTAAAAATTAATGAAATGCCTATTTTGCCTATTTGTTTTGATTTTGAGTGACAGAAAAACTGCGTCGACTATGATTGTTATATTGACTTGTATTTTGCGTAACCATAATCGATTTATGATTTTTCACTTCTAAATCAAGTAATTTGATAGCTTGCGTCCCACCATTCCATGTTGATATTCACGAAACGTTTAAGGGCCGTTGCAACATCAACCTTTCCACCATTAGGAATTTAAAGATTTTTTTTTTAAAAAAAAAAAGACGTGTGAAAAAGTTTACAAATATTCCTGTAAGTTTGAATAGTAAGAACAAAGCATATACACCACAGTGTTATCTATCCAAAGAACTGTACTATAGAATAGTATTAGCTATAAAACAGAATTTAATAAATAATTTGGTAATTGCCCGTAAATTTGCCAGTATCATCATCATTATTATGTAATGTAAGAAAGAATACGAGCCAGCTTGAGAACGAGTGAATTTGGTGAATAATCTATTTTCGAATTTTATTGGGATCTTTTCTAATTCTAATTTCTGTTATAAAACAATAAAGTTGAAAATTAACATACTTCTCTAGAGAATTTGCTTCTAACTTTTAAACACTTACCTTTACCTTTAAACACTTCCAATATCAGCAGTCGATCATTGCGATGATAATATACAATCGTTTTAATCATTTTATTTCGTGATAAATAAGACGTAACTCCATAAATTTCATCTGATCTGCTAACCACTTTTTCCCAAATCTGAAACATGATAGCAATATCTCAAAAAATCTTGTCAAGAGGTTTGCCGGAATGAATTTAAAATTGCCTTTCCATCAAAGTCTATTAATATTAAATTAAGACTGCTACCTTTCATTGATTCAAAAACCATTTATCAATTTGAAACGACTAAAAATGTTATTGTGCTTGATCATAAATTACTAATCAATCAAAGTTAATGACTTCATTAGTATGACGGCCCACTAAAATCATGTAATATCATATTATATTATTAAATTTTACCTTATTCAGAAAATCATAAGTGACCGTTTTGCGAGTTGACAAGCCTCTGCTGTATTTCAATGCGTCTTCTGCGCTGCGCCCTACCTCAATAACAATCCCTACTACGAATAAGAATTTAACCGAACATGTGACCATTCGCTCTACTCCAGAGATGACTTAATTCACATGGCATCTGAATATTCAACGCCGTATTATATTTGTTAACCAACGAAAATCTCAAAGTGTTCCATTCGTTGCTGAGAAGAATCATGAAGTGGTGACTTGATTTTAATTTACTTGGTGCCAATTTTAGTTACTAACGGATAGCCAAAGTAACATGTTATATATTTTTAAAAAAAAATTTTAAAAAAAGTGAGCATAACCAGGTCAGGGATAATCAAATTTTGATTTATGGTAATTGGAAATTGAGGACGACTCTTCAATAATAAGTTGTTATTATTATATTATAGTCATACGGAAGTGGATTGTGATTTTAAAAACTAAAAGGGAAAAAAACAAGTATCACATTTGAATACCTATTATAATTCTCCAAGGAGTTATAATAACACGAGAAGTGTACTTTTTTTTAGAAAAATTGATTTTTTCGTTACAAGAAAGGTGGTAGAAATTCTTTTTTTTTTAAAACACTTTTAATTTGATGACATAAAAATCATTAAATAAAAGCGTATCTCATTTTTGTTCATTTATTTAAGAGAATATCTTTCAAAGTTTTTTTTCAGATTATATATACGTGAAGTATATGATAAATCTTTAAACCTAAAAAGTGGAAATACGAGGAGAATTATTTGAAAAATAAAGAAAGAATTACTTCTTTATCAAAATCTTTAAAATTAAAAAAATGGAAATATGAGGAGTATGTTTAGAAAAATAAAGAAAGTTTAATTTTTTAAAAAAAAACGTAAAAAGGGAAACGTAATTTTTTACAATGAAGGGGACTACAGTCAGAACTCGATATAACGATTCTCGATATAACGATCACTTAATAAAATCTTGTTAAAACGATTTTTTTAAAAATTTTGACTTTATATTTGAACATATAAAAATCGTTATATAGAACTTATAAGCCGATTTTTTTTAAAAAATTTCATACCAAGTGTGTGTTTATATATTTTTTAAAGTTTGATCGGCATTTTTAAATAGGCCTACAAAATTTGGTTTATCTTAGATAAACGAGGGGGCCATAAAAATGTCCAATACTTTACTTAGCCCATACTATACTAATATCAATTCACACTATAAACTACAGTATATTAAAAAAAAAAAAAAAAAATTGCTAAATCGAAATAAAGTTATAAATTATATAAAGGAACTTGTTTTCATGCTTAATATAAATAAAAAAAAATATATATTTTTTTATAAATTACAACTCGCCTTCATTTTTTTTAATAAAAATAAAAAAATGCCTAAAACCATAAAGCAAAAAAATAAAAATCGTGTTATTAATTCAAATACCGATTCCAAGTTTAATAAAAAAACAAATATTGACGGCGACAACTTTAATTATGTTCTCAAACCGACGTTCCCTTCCACCTTATCAATCAATGAAATTATAAGTGTTATTAAAACATCTAGCAATAATAAAAAGGCAAAAACATTTCCAAATTCTTTTATCGCGTATAAAAAGGCATTAATTAAAGAGAATCGAATTAGAAACATTAAATTACCTCCTATGGGCCAGCTTTCTAAACTTGCATCATGTTATTGTGATAATGAACCGGAAAATGTGAAGGAATTTTACAGAAAGCTATCCGAGGATGCTAAATCTTTGTATAAGCAAACTAAGCAAAATGAGATTCAAATCTTATTTGATAAAAATATGAATGAATTAGAAGAAATTAGGGAGAATCCTGTTGAAAATATAATCTATACACAAAATTCAACAAGTGGGTTTGAAGATAATTCAGCCAGCCTTGACAGCCACAATTTTATTAACAGCTTCCAACCTAATTTTCCCAATAGCACCTTTTTCGAATATCCGTATAGAATGAATGAAGTTACTAACGATCAGGAATTTATTAGAATGTTGGAATACGAAAGCGTGCAGTTTACGCCTCTGCAAGTTGATACAGATTATTTAAATTATACCCAAGGCATTAAGGACCCTGTTGAAAATATAATTTATACGCAAACTTCAACACCTGGGTTTGAAAATAATTCTGCTAGCCTTATGAATCTTATGAATTCTTTTCTTGACAGCCGTAATTTTATTAGCAGCTTTCAAACGAGTTTCCCCAATAGCAACTTTTTCGAAAATCCGTATAGAATGAATGAAGTTGCTAACGATCAGGAATATATTAGAATGTTGGAATGTGAGAACGTGCAGTTTTCGCCTCTGCAAGTTGAAGTTCCCATTGAAGATATAATTGTTTCAACTTGTGGCGCAGCCTCGGATTGTATCAATTATCCCGTTGAAAATGAAAATATGTTTCTTCCGTCCCTTTAGAATCGATATTAAAAGACCGTCAAAAAATTAAAATTGATCGATTAATATAAGGCTATACAACAAATTTCAGAAAAACATCCTTCGGTCAACCTTCCATATAGATTTGATTGGGATTAAAGATACTTTATTCGATGGATTTAATTAAGCTTTTTTGATTATTAATTCTATTCTGTTTCGGTACAATTTGTCGACTCCAAATATTAACAAACGTATTAAATATTTGATATTGTAATATATTCTTCATAAGTTATAATGGTTATACTGTAGATTTATGCATTAGCCGTAACTAATAAATTTGAACTTCATATTCTATAGCACTGTATTTACTGTATTTAAAGCAATAGCTTCTTTTAATTATTTTGTTTTGTCTTTTTTTAATTAGACTTGTTCGACATTCTTTAATTCGCCATTTTCTTATTCAAAGAATATTATTTCATATCATTAATAATTTAAAATAAATATATCTATCAATATTCAATACTAAATTATTTTAAGTATAATATATTGATTTCAGTATTCATTAAAAGCTAATTTGTATTGAATATAACTTTAAATATAAATTTCAAACATTTTTTAATTCATATTTATTTTATTATAATATCTTAAGTTTAAATTTATTAACATTAAATTAAATAATTAGCTACATAAATAAAATTATATTTTATTAATTTTCAATATATAGATTTTTTTTAATATAACTTACAATATTTAAACTTCCTAATTTTTTGTTAATAATCATTTAAAAATAATGTATATTTATTTTATATTATTTAAACTATTTAATTAAATTAAATAGTTGTAAATTTAAGTTTATTTAATTAATGCTTTATAATAATTTTTTGTAATCTTTTAGGTGAATGTGAATTTATAAGAATAAAGTATAAGTTTACATAGTTGTTATTTGTAAATATAAGTTTATATAAATTTAATAAGTAAATAAAAAATTTGCTTAATCAGCTTAAGTGAATATAAATTTGTATAAGCTTATAAATACATATAAATTAACTTATCAATTCTTATAATAATATTATAACAATTATAAAATTATTATATTAAATTATTAAAATTCATGTTTATCAAATTTAAATATTAGTAATAAAATATCATATTAGACTTTATAGTTTTTAATAATATAAAAATTAATAATCTTAACTTTTATAAAAAATATTTTATTAAACTTGATCTTAAATTAATATAAAAAATTACTAAAAATTATTACTTTTAAATTTTAAAGGTAAAATATTAAAAGAATGATTAAATAAAATAAATAAAATATATAATTTAATTATTTAAAAAAATATAAATTTAATATAATATTTTTATTTTAATTTATTCAAAATAAAAATTAATATAAAAATATATATATTATATATAATAAATCCTTTATATTATAAGTTTTACAAATCAATTGCAAGAAAGATATTACAAGTATGCCAACCGATATAGTACTTCATTTCCTTCTTCATTTAACAGCACGAAATAATAGTTACGCATAGACAAATTATCCTAATATGCGGCCATGGATAATCATGTAGAATTCTAAAGAAGCTAAATACCAGGATGTTTGTAAAAGGTTAGCATGTAATGTAACAGTAACACAGTTTGTATATGGGCAAAGATAAACATTTTCTCATTCGAGTATTATAAAAAAATGATGTACTGATCAGCCAATTAGATTTTTTAACTATGCTATTAACTAATACGATTTCTTTAAAAGGAAATGATATGATTGGCATGGTCTTTTTGCAAAACAAGACCTTTAAAGTTACTAATAATGACCTGTCTCTTACAAACATACTTCCACAGATTATTAACCTAAAATTTTAAGTGATTCTTTGGAAATGTTCGAAATTCGTACGATAGTCATCAAAAACATTAAAGATGCTATCTAATTTAAACAAATAATTTAATTCATGTATAAATTGATAAATTGCCCGAATTTAAAGTTTGAAATTTAAATTTGGTCAATTTTTGATGCATCTACATTATATAGGTTCTGAAAATTTTTTAATAAAATTTTGATTTTTATTGCATTTCATTTTTTGATGACTTTTACAAATTTTATACAAAAAATTCTCAGAACCTGATTTTTCTGGCAACCTTCCCATAGAAAATAATACTTAAAAATGATGCGGAATATGGTAATTTCGTGATACAATATTAATTAAATATGTAAATTACAAAATTGAGAAAAGACATTTTTATCATACAAAAAAAATAATTTTTATACAATGAATGCCTTTATTGGATAATGAATATGATATTATAATATAGTACAATAGTTGTTTTCGTAGCTCATTACAAATACAAAAACAATTGATAAAAAAATTTGATGCATCAAATGATGCGTATTAATGGCTATAGACTGGTTTTGTCCGTGTTCAATATTATTGTTCGACTTGGAGATTACCTTATTTATTATTTTGTATAGTAATATATTATCTTCGTAAGGAAAGTTACTCGGTAAAGTTAATTTTCGCATAAAATTATTATGATCCGGACTCTAAACGGTTTTCGTTTCCTAGTTATACCATTGGAACATTAGGATTCTATACAAAGAGGTTATAATTAGAATTTAATGACTAACATGGATTCATGCCATCAGGAGAAGTATTCACAAGCTGAAATGAATTTTGTGTGAATCATTGGAAGAGTATATATAATTCGAGTCTGCGTCACTAAGTAAACTTGTCGTAATTGAAGATTTAGTACCTTCAGTTAGTTCAACATAAGTAAGTCTTTTAATTTTTTATGAACATTTATTCAATTATTCCAAAATTTTTACATTTTTTGAAATTATATTATCCTTGAAGGTAATTGGAAGTTTTTATTAAAAATATATATGAATTTATTAAAAAGTTTTTTTTAAAAGGAAAGTTTGATTGGCCAAGTCTATTGGTGCAACACAAACTCTAAATTATTTTTGTGGAAAGTTCGAAATCAATAAACGGAAACGGAAACAAAGCAATAACCGCACTAGTAACGATAAGTTAGAAGTTATTTTGAGCAATGCACTTGAATGTGGCCAAAATATCAAATCATGCATAGATGCATAGCTTACCGCGAAATGTGAAATAATCCATGATAACTGTGAAGTTACTAAATAAAAAGAAAATTTTATTGTCTTAATTTGGGGTGATACAATTATAATAAAAAAAAAGGCCCGTCTCTAAAATTAATTACTTCTGCAGCTGATTAACCTAGCGTTTTAACCGATAGGTTCGTCCGATAGTTCAGCAAATAGATACTGGATGACCTTAATCAATCAAAAAAAGAAAATAAGCGCATACAGGATGATTTTTAATAAATCCAAAAAAGAAAAAGAGAAACTTTCCAATCGGGTACATCAGCTCGGGGAAGAGATAACACTGTTACAGTCAGAGATAAATGATTCTAAGCTTGGAGATAGATATTATACCGGTTCACTAATCACCCATCTACATGTAAGACAATAAGATTACTGATATGATTATATGCCTGACGAAAGACTTAAATGACTATTTAGATCAATTTATTACATTTAACAATAAAATTATAATTTTATTCCTTGTATAAGGTGACCGAATTAAAAGTTTGAAATCTAGACTTGATCAAAATTTTATGATGTCAAGTTTCGTCAGTTACACAGGATTTGAAAATTATAGTCATTGCCTAACTCGATTAATTAAACAACAAGCAAAAGTAGTTTGTTTTCTGTTTCATTTTGTGTCGATAATGACTTATAAGAAATAGATATAAGTGATCGCAACACATCGCACATATTTTTTCGTAACCTATTACAAAAGAAAAATTATGATGCTCGTGATTTCCGGTTTGTGTAACAAAACAAAAATCATATGATAGAATGTTACATTTAAAGGTACTGATATGAACATGTACATGTACATTTGGTTTCTGTTTATTAATTATTAAATGTCTTACAAGATGAGATATGGAAATAACTATTGACTGAGTTTCATATTGTATCCAAATATTTCCTTTGTTCAAATATAATGAGAATCCACATAATATAGTTTGAATATATTTCTTTGTCTATTGTATCACTTGTATTAATTAATTAATTTCGAAACATATTATCAAAATAATTCACGGACTAAAACGAAGTGTTTGTTAATAGCTGATTAGATTTTGATTGATGAGATGTATAGATTTAGAATTTTCAGCAGAAAGACTTGTCGTGTATAGTCATACAAAAGATAACTCCTGATTTGTGTTTGCTAATTTCAAGATATTTTTTTAAGCAATTTCTAAAGCCTTACGATTATAATTACAATTCTTTGATACAGTAATGTGATGCCAAAAATAAATTGCTTTTTATACAATATCTTCAACAATAATTGTTTTTCGTAGCACGTTACAAATACAAAATGATTGATAAAATGATAAAAAAATTTTATGCACCTAATGATGCGGCGGAAATTTCTATGCAATTGTGTTTATAAACATTTTTGCTTGTGCTATGAAACAAAAAATAATTGACCAAATTGCAAATGAGATATAGCAATGCCTATAGACTGATTTTGTCATAGAGATTACCATATTTGTTATTTGTTATAGTAATATATTAATCTAAGAAAATTTAATGGAGTTACAAGCGTCTCAATCTCAAAATATTTATGATTTGATATATTACTATAACAAATATGGTAATCTCTTTAAGATTCCAAGTAGTCGTGAAATTCAAAAAAACACTATAGTATAATGAATGAGTAATTGTTTGTGCAAGGTAAATTTATGATTTTGTTTTTGTAGCACATACTGTACAAGCAAAATTGTAGACAAAGAAATTACCATATTCCGTATCATCTATTAGTAATTCAACATCAAAAAAATATTTTATGTAAAAATAGTGCTTGTGTACACTATTATCATCTGAATGCAATATTCTCAAATTTTACTTTTAATAATAGATACAACATTCAATGAATCCGAGTTAGGCAATGTCTATAATTTTCAAAACTCGTGTGTAACAAGCAAGTATGACGAAACTTCGACATAAAAATATTTTTTATTGATAACGTTACTAAGTATCTGCCAACAGTCACGTGACAGTTAATATCCTTTTTTTTGTTGATTTCACAAAAATTTCATGTTGCACCAAAATTTGCAAGAAAAACATTTGGAATGAATAAGTAACAAAATACAATATTTTATACGAAAATAATCAAACGGACAGGTTTCGCGCGACAAGTGGTACTGATATCATTGAGGGTACAAAATCAAGTATATTTTCCAATTGTATCGGCGTTTTATTATTCTCGTGATTTTAATAGCAACATTTCATCGATGCTATAAAATCGATCTAGCTATTCTAGAAAATTTTGAACAAATTCTTATCACCTTAGAAGGTTTATTTAATTTCTATGATTTGAACCAACAATTTATAACATAATTTACATAAATAAAATATTTCCTAATCTAAATCTTGTTAGATCGAATAAATTTGAACCTTATTTCTTTTTAGTTTAGAAACGATCGATCTTGCGCCTTTTTACTTTCCTCTTTGGATTGGATCATTGTAGTTTTTAACGAAATTTTAGGGTTGCATAAGTAGTTTTAATTTTTTCGGATCGATTTCTTCGGACTATAGCCATCTATACATTTTATTTTTGTTATATATTGTAAAGTAATGGCGGTTACGCCTAGTTAATATGTAATTCCAGTAAAACTGTTGACTGGGTATAACTCATCCAATCAAAAAACATACAACTTGTAGTTAGATTAATTTTAAATAAATTGAGAAATTTTTTTTTTATCTATGCGAAATTATTTATTTATAAGTGAATATTCACATAATTATTTTTCATGTTCTGTAATTTAAATTATTTTTATCATGTTTTATCCTTTGTTTTTTTTAATATAACGATATTATAGTAATAAATTAATAAATTATCTCTTGTGGACAAAGAACAAAACGGGAGCCTTTTTCAAAACATCAGTTAAGGATACTAAATGTTTGTATTAACAAGTACAATTCAAATCGTTGATAATAATTACAAAAACGCCCAAAGTTCTTCCTTTTGAGAATGCACGAAGCCATTATTCGTTTTATGAATCTTTCTTTTCTTTCTTTTATTTTTTTTTTTAAAATTAAAACGTAAAAATGTGATGATGTCAGAAATTTAAAAATAAAATACAAATAAATTAAATCATTGTAAAAGTTTATCTGTTTAAAGAAAAAATTTGCATTTGACAATGTAGTTATATTAAAGAAAATTTATTTTGAAAAGTATAAAGAATTTATTTGTTTATACAAATAAATATAAATTTTATTCATTCTAAATGAAAATGAAATTGCCAAAAAATTATTTCATAAATATTGTATTAAAACTTTTATAAAAAAAAAATTAGAATAGAGCAAGTTCAGTAATTATCGAAGAATCCATATCAGGTTGAACGACTGCTTTTGCAATTTTGATTCTACCCTCTGAATGTCATCTTTTTGATACAACTGACATTTTTATGTAGTAAGATATGTATATTCCAATATTCTATAGAGGATACTGTTCTGAAAACGTAAAATGAGGAGCGAAACGAATGACATATATAGTTTTATCCGAAATTACACCTGTTTAACTTGCAATTTGGTGTTTATTTTCATCACCACGCGCAAAAATCTCGACTTTGTTTGACGCAAGTTTAATTTAGGAACAGTTATTAATAATCCGAAAAGTGTTGTTTTCTTAATACGGTTAGCGATCGGCCTAGATGATCTTAGATTTGGTCGGCTGGGCAAGTCAAATTGTCCCTCTGGGGAATTTGTCCTTTTGGAATGAATGCTGGATTCCTGACCAGAGCATAGATTCCTTTAGTTTAGTAATTCTAGAATAGTTTTTTTATTTAGCCGCAACGATCTACAATTTTATGTTGATCACTTAGGATACTCTTTTATTTATCACGCCACGCAACCGCTATTTTCATTTTACAAGTATTCTGGGACTGAGAAATTTTTTTTGTTACGGGAATCCTAACCGTCACACCTATCGTTTGACCACTTTTGACCTCTTATATGTCACTTGATCGACATAAAATGGCAAAGATGTCAAGGCAGTACTTGATTAATTAAAAAATTTTGCATCATTTTTGCTTTAATTAAAAGCCTTCTACTACCTTCACGTTCGTTTATAAATAAAAACTTTAAGAACTGAGCGCAAAAATAGCAAAGCGGTTTATGAAGGATGTAATTTTCTAATAGAATTTTTTGTAATTCCGTTGTACACGAAAATTTCAGACAACTACTGGTACTCTATAATATGAACAACTATTAATATTGAACGATGTAAAAAAATACTCGTATGAAAAAGTGTATGTCTCCGCCGAATATATTTTTACTTTATTGACGATTATTGTACCGACATGGTTATTTATAGAAAATACAAGTTTTACTGTAAAAGAAGCAGAAGCATTCATTAACACAAATATTAACGTTAACGTTAACATCTCTACTATAACTACCAATACCAACAGATAATTTGTAATAAAAGAAGGGTAGTTTAAATATTTTTTAAAGTTGTTTGTATAATTTTTATATCATAAATGTTTAAAATTTTCTTCAATGGTACGATAAAAATGATTTGTCGGTCAATTGATTGTGTCTTTAAAATGAATATTTCGATTAAATAAATGTGTCGTTCAAATGATTGTCGCAGTAAAATGATCGGTATAAATTAACATAAATAACTCTAGTGATGCATCTTACTAACATTTGTAAGGGTTCGGAAAAATCATCCACATACTTTATGAGTAAAAAAAATTGTACCGGACGTAGCGATAATTTTTCAAAAAATTCTATACCGTCCCTTGACTTTTGAAATTGCTGTAATATTCACGGAGTATTATTTATAGTGTGGGAATAGAAGTCATCTCAAGCTTTAGTCATTCGTACGTGTGATCTTTGGATGTATCTCTCAATATCTTTTGGTTACACGTGGAAGGATTAAATCATGCGTACTGACAAGTTCTTTTACTTTTCTGAGTGATATAGATATTCATTAGCTTAGTTCTTTTTGGTATGATGATATACCATTACTGGGGCTAGTTAATACTTTATATAATTTTGTATTTTTTTAACTGCATCATAAAAAAAAAAATTTATCGTGTGGTTAATTTATAGGGGCAGAAACAAAAAGGGAAATGAAACGTTTATCAAAGTTGCACATTAATAATCTTCACATCCCCCATTATAAATAATTATAGTTAAAATAAATCAAGTCAAAACAAGCTCGCAATGAAAAAAAAATATATATATTTTCTACTACAAAAAAATTTTTTTTTTTCTTTTTCAATCTTTGGAGATACAAGCTTATTTCACCTCATAAAGCATTTTTCATGCAAATTAATCGTTTTTCTTCAGCACTGCATTATCTTTCTGCTGTTTAAGTTATCTGCTAATGTTTAGGAATTAGAATCCTTATTGGTTCTGCTCCCTAATAAATTGTGTATAATTTATTCTTGAACTATCTTGAGCTGTTTAAAATCTCATTTGTAGAAGCTCATAACTTCCATTTGCGGGGGGGGGGGGTAAAAATTATTGTACAAGTGAAGAGTTTTTTTTTTTTTTTTTATTTTTTTTTTAGAAATTTAAATTGTATTACAAGAAAAAACTTAATATTTACAAAAGAGTAAAGGGCATTTAAATGAATCGCAGGTTTATAGATTGCTCAGGGCAGTGTTAGAAATTCAAAATAAAAAAGTTTGTGCTCTTCTTCGGCATTATGGACATTGACCTGTCAAATTGTTACAAAATTTGTTAAAAAAATGTGAACGTGCTGAATTAGGCTTTTTTTATTATTATTATGGTGGTATATCATACATATTAAGTTAAAATTAAGACTGCATACAAAAAAAAAAAAAAAAATTTTGGTATGTATAAAATAAGGAAGACCAAAAATATTGTAGTTTAATGTAAGAATTTTTTTTTGTCTCACTTTCCATATACAGAACATTATATATTTTCACTTGTATTTAAATTATCGATCGATCAAGTGAGTGGGTCACCATATAAAAGTTACTACACTAAAAAAAGGTTGATCAAACATATTTTAGTTAAGTTAAAATGCAAAAAAAAAAAAAAAAAAAAAAAATAATTTTCTCTATAAATAGTGTGTCTCTTCCCAATCATATCCAAAAAAGAATTTTTTATTTATTACAGAACATAAAAAGTAATTTTCATTCTTCCATTCTTATTTATATATTCTTTTTGGTCTATCAAACTAATAGGAAAAAAAAAAAATTGATAAACAATATTTTTATATAAAGAAATTTTCTTTCGTGTTTTTCCTTCAAGATAATTTATTATAAATCACAAACTCGACTTTATATTATACATCTTTATTTTATTTTTATTTTTTAAAAAAATAAATGCCTAAAACCATAAAACAAAAAAATTACAATCGTGTTATTAATTCAAATATCGATTCCAAGTTTGATAGGGAAACTAATAATGGCGACGACAACTATAATTATGTTCTCAAACCAACATTCCCTTCCAGACTATCAATGAATGAAATTATAGGTGTAATTAAATCGCCTAGCAATAATAAAAAGGCAAAAACATTTCCAAATGCTTTCATCGCGTATAAAATAGCATTAATTAAAGAGAATCGTATTAGAAACATTAAATTACCTCCAATGGGCCAACTTTCTAAAATTGCATCATGTTATTGGAATAAAGAATCAGAAAACGTGAAGGAAGTTTATAGAAAACTATCAGAGGATGCTAAATCTTTGTATAAGCAAAAAAAACAAAATGAGGTTCAAATCGTATTTATAAACATAATGAAGTTGTAGTGAATAAGGAAGCACACAATTCTTACGACAGAATTTGGTTATGCCAATAATACTCAAACTAAAGAAGTTGAGGATATTGTCCATGCGACAAATTCATCAAGTGGATATCTTACGAATAAGGATTCTACCGTCGGTGCTATGACAACGGTACGACTAGCATTTTTCAGGTTGGAAATTGTCCCAATTAGTAGATCCTAATGATCAAGAGTATGATGCAAATTAGTATCAATTTATTTATACACGACTTACGTCAAAATTATTTATGTAACTAATATATATGTATGAATATTTAATTCATAAATAACTTTATTTTAAATAGGTGTGTTTGCTAATTCCAGGACATTTTTTAAGCAATTTCTAAAGCCATTACGATTATAATTACGATTTTTGTTATACTTAAAAAAAAAAAAAGTTTTTTAAAAAAAATTTAAACGCGAACAAAAAAATTTTATATGGCCTAATTTATATACAATCTATGGACATAATATTAGTACGACTTTACCAACCAGCTTTATTGTTAAATTTTTTTAATTATTTAACTTCATTACGGTCAAATTACATCAGACTTGTTGCTATTAGGAAATGTTTTTTTTTCACTAAATAATTATCTCTAAATAATTATCTGATATTTGAAACAGAAAAAAGGTTAACAAATAAATTTTTATTGTAATAAATAAATTTTAAAATGACACGGACGGTTTACTTTAATTAAGTTTCATTAATATAGGTCGTCAATTGTTTTTTGTTTGCATTGCAAACTTTATATTTGCAGATTTAAATAAAAAAATATGTTAGTCCATACAACCCATTTATGATATATTTAAATGTTTACTGAACAATGAATGCTTCGTTTGTGTAAATATAAATATAATTGAAAGTCCGAAACCTTCGACAAATAAAATGATCAAAAAGCCCAGGCAATTTTAATAAATACTTTTCCCGAGGATATCAAATTTGAAACCTACTTGACGATTCAAGTAATCATTTATTGATCATGTGCAATCCAAATGTTTCAAGGTCAAATGTGAGAAATCCTTTGCAGGATTTGTAGCACATAAATTACATAGAATTTCCATATTTCATAATATATTAAATTTGTTTTTCTGCTCATAACTGAATATTCACAATTCATTACACGTTTACAATTTCTATTTGAACTTTGGGTCTGATTTGTGTGCATCAAAAGCATCACAAGTGAATAATATTCATTATCTTCACAACATTACATACCAAATTCTCAATACATATCTATCTTTTTTATTTTGTGTATTAATTGTCAAAAAAAAAAAAATAATAACAAACGCTATAACTGATGACTAAACTTCGAAAATTTAAATTAAACCAATAGATTTATGCGAGATGTGAAAATATCTGGAAGAGCATTCTAATTGCTAATTTTATGCACTTAATATGATATGACATTATTAAAAACTTATTATATAAAAAAAGAAAAAATTACATCAAATGGAACATTTAACTACAAATACTAGGAATAAAGTGTTTAGACAAATACTCGTATAAATCGTTGGTAACACCAAAAGTTCTACATACAATCTCTTGATGTGCGCATGCAAATAACTGTTAAATTTCCGCACATATCAACTTTTAAGGTGTGCGCAAATCCGCACAACTCGGTATTAAAAAAAAATTTTTTATATATAACGATAAATGTAAATACTGCATTAAAAATTTTTTTATGCGCATGATATTTTGAATACTACCCATAATAAATTCCGCACATAATCTTATCATACAATATATATTTCCGCACATGCAAGTACAATGATTAGTACAGTTAGTACGGTTAGTACATTATAATAATTAATATAAAAATTAGTACAAGTACAGTGGTAATTTTATCTAGTACATACAAAATTCCCAACCCTGCGCACATGGTTTAATTTATGTGGCGCATTTTTGCAATAAAACAAAATTTTATATATATATATAATTTTAAAGTTCAAATGCGTTGAAAAATTTTTCGTAGAAAATTGTCTGTGACGCATGTGCCGATCATTTCGAACCAGAATCTAACGTTTATTAGTATATACGCCCACTTGAGTTACAAAGAAATTCCTTATGGAACATATAGTTTTTATGCAAAAAAGATCATTGCTGTCTGGAAGGCCACTGACTGATCGATAGCGAAGGCAGAAAACGCTATCCTTGTACTGATTGTGGCAAACCTACTGCTACAGCTTGTGGGCGGTGTGCTGAACATATGGGGCCTTTGCAATAGAAAGGGGGGAAACAGCCGGAAAAATCAAAAATGAGTTAATGCTAAATTTAAACATATTTCAGCATAAAAATCATATTTGGCATATAAAGTAAAATTAATTTTTCCCGGCAGTTTCCCCCCTTTCTATTGCAAAGGCCCCATATTAGAGGATACTATGTAGCTATAAGCTTCATTGCAAAGCCATAGGCCATGCATATCTTGGATGAGGTAGCAATCTACTTAGTTAACACACTGGCATATAACTATTCATTAACCTATTATTTTGTTCGATTCTTTCCAAAAACGTTATTTTTAAAAAAAAAAAAAATTTTTTTTTTTTTTTTTGTAGAGTAGTAGCGGGACATAACGTACATATGTACATCAGTCAGTATAGAATTAAAAAAAAAAAAAAAAAAAAATTTTTTTTTGCATTTTAGACTTAGGATTTTAGATTACTGTAGTAGAATTAAAAGCAAAAAATTTTTTTTTTTTTTTTTTTTTTAATTCTAGATGAACGTTATATCCCGCTACTACTCTACAAAAAAAAAAAATTTTTTTTTTTTTTGGTATTAGTGACAGTTTTTGATGACGATAATGGGGAAATTAATGCCGAATTGTTTTTTTCCCTATATTTAGAATTAAAATTTGACCTAATTTTCGAAAGATCGTCAAAAACCTTTTTTAAATTCAATTTTCTTATAAAATATGGTCCATTTCCAATATAGAAAAAAATAAAAAAAAACATTTTAGTAATTTCTTTTCTCCATTCTTATTTATAAAGATTTCTATACTACAAATAATATAATCTTTGATCTATCAAGGAATTTTCATATAATCGAAATAAATAAAAAGAAATTGATAAATATAAAGGAATTTTTTTCGTGTTTGTTCCTCAATATATATAATTTTTTTATAATTATAAACTCGACTTTATAACATACATTTTTATTTTTATTTATTTTTTTTTTAAAACAAAAATGCATAGAACCAAAAAGCAAAAAAATAACAATCGCGTTATTGATTCATATATCGATTCCAAGTTTAATAAAGTTAGCGACAACAACTATAATTATGTTCTCAAACCAACGTTCCCTTCCACCTTATCAATGAATGAAATTATTGTTATTAAACCAACTAGCAATAATCAAAAAGCAAAAAAATTTCCAAATGCTTTCATCGCGTATAGAAATGCATTAATTAAAGAGAATTGTTTTAGAAAAATTAATTTACCTCCTATGTGTCAACTTTCTAAAATTGCATCACGTTATTGGAATAAAGAACCAGAAAACGTGAAGGACTTTTATAGAAAGATATCTGAGAAAGCTAAATTTTTGTATAAACAAAATGAGATTCAAATCGTATTTGATAAACATGTGAATGAAATTGAAGGAAACGAACAGGTTTCACGTATGACAAATATAATTAATATAGCTGACTTGGATTATGCTCAAGGCATTGAGGATCCCGTTGAAAATATAATCTATACGCGAAATTCAACAAGTCCAATTGAACATACTTCTGCCAGCGTTATGAATTCTTTTCATGATAGCAATGCTATAAATAGTCTCCAAACTGGTTTACAGCTTTTCGAAAACAAGTATAGAATGAATGAAGTACCTATCGATCAAGAGGATATTATATTGTTTACACCTCCGCGAGTTGATTCAAAATTTGTCGATAATACACAAGGAATTGAGGAGGATCTCGTTGAAAATATAATCTATACGCAAAATTCAACAAGCTGGTATCTTCCGATCGAAGATGATTTTGCAAGCGTTATGAATTCTTCTCTTGGCGGAAATGCTATTAATAGCTCCCAAGAGTGTTTTTCTAATTGCAACTTTTTCGAAGACCCGAATAGAATGAATGAAATTGCTAACGATCAAGAATATATTAGAATTTTGGAATGCAAAAACGTGCAGTTTTCGCCTCTGCGTGTTAATACAGATTATGTCAATTATACCCAAGGCATTGAGGTTCCCGTTGAGGATATAATCTTTACACCGAATTCTATTGATTATCCTACTTGTAACATTTTCGATCAAGAGTATGGAATGGAACATAAGTTTACTGATAATCAAGAAAGTAGGCAAATTTCAACTTGTGGCGAAGATTCAGATTATGCCAATTATGAATTCTTCCCGTTGAAAACATAAATATGCACAATTTTTATCTTCCATCACTAGCATAAACCATAAATACTGCAAAATAATGTACTTTTAGATTTTATGCATTGACCGTGACACATAAAATTTGAAAACTTTTCGTCATTAATTTGGCACAATACTCTCTTTTATTTATTTTATTTATCGATTATTTTTCTTCATATTATTTATCATATTTATTTTTTTTTTATAAAATAAATAGACATTTGTTTATCTTATTTCTTTTTACAGTAAAGTATTGTCCTAAATGATTAGATTAAATTGGTGACAACCAGTTACTCTATTATATTAATAGATCAATAGAGATATGTTAATTTAGGTAAATTATTAAATTTGTCGCGTCATGTTGATAAATAATTACTTTTCCGATTAATTAATATACGAGTAAAAATTATTGTAAGATGTAAAAAATATAAAATAATTTATTTAATAAATTTGATAAATGTGTGTGGTAGCGCCCGTGGCTTAACCACTGAGCAAAGGTGCCATTTTCTAGTAATTGCTATAAACAGTCTTTGTTTGAGTTCAATATTGTTTGACTTGGAGATTGCCTTATTTGTTATTATATATTATCCTTGTAAGAAAAGTTACTTGGCAAAGTTAATTTTCACATAAAATTGTTTTACTCATCTTCATTATCCATTATTATTTATTGTGTAATGCACCAATTAATTAATAGCTTTAATCTTAATAAACAAAATATTTTTTATGAAAGTTTCTGTTAAATTATTTTTTGTTACAGAACATTTATATTAATGCTTAATAAAGTAAACTAACAATAGGATAATGTGACAGAGTTAGAACTGGCCTAATAATCTTTAATTAACCGGTTAGAGTTAAATTAGGCTAGCACTAAAATTTTGGGTAGAACTAGCGAAATTTTATAATCACAAAAAATCTTAATTCCGTCTGAAATTTAAATTTTGGCCAAAGTTAAAATTAAATATTTTAATAAGTTAAAAAATTTTTAACCGGTTAATAAAATAACATCTTTAACTGGATAATTAACCAGTTCCAATCTTTATAATGTGGATCAAAAGAATACGGGTCCATTATTATATTGTATGTATTCGCGTTTAACAAATACAGATCCTTGCAGGTCAATAATTTAATCATACATATGATTTATTCAAATTGTTTTATCACAAAAAAAAAATTACTTACATGTGAAAATTTAATTTTCATTTTACATAAAATAATCATTTACATATTCAAAATGATATTTGTCGTGATAATGGCATAATATTCTTTACTGAACAAACTTACATATATATCATAATTCTCTATTGGAAGATACAACGAATACAACGAAATCTCTTTCTAAATCTTGTTCACGATTTTAATAGCAATTCTGCATATTTTATAAACTTTACTTTTTGTGATCATTCCAAAAATTTTGACGATTCTGGATAAATTACTCATGGGAAGTAATTAATCAATACATTTGGAAGTATTATTACGTTAAGTGTGTATAAGATTGTCTGTTGTTAAGTGGGAGAGGAAGTTGATTTATAAAATAAGACTTTAAATTAACATTGGCTTTCTACTAAAAAGAAATTGCCTTTTCATAATAGTCTCTAAAATGTTAATATTGTTCATGAATTTTTTTATTCGTACAAAACCATATGAGACCTTTGCAATAGAAAGAGTGGAAATTTACGGAAAAAAAATTTTATTTTTAAATGCCAAATATTTCAAGCCAAAATATGCTTAGATTTAGCAATTACTCATTTCACATCCTTCTATTGCTAAGATCCCATATTGTGATTTATAAAAGTAAATATAAATTCAAATTTTTCAAGTTTGCATGCACAGATAAAAGAACAAATATACACAAATAACACAAATAAAAAAAAACTAAAATTAGTTAATTGAAATTTTTTTTATCTAAAAGTTAGATACTTTGATTGGATGAGTTATACAAAAACTAGTGTTACTATTTTATAATAAAATAATAAAATTTTCCACCAAGTTGTCCTACGCACACTATGAAAAATTTCAGATCACATGAGTTTCTCGGTCCGCTCACGTGATTTTTCCAATGATTAATTTTATCATTTAAAATTATAATTATCAACGGTTTCCGTTTCCTAGTTATACCATTGGAACATGTTATAATTAGGATTTAATGACTAACATGGATTCATGCCATTAGAAACACTATCAGGAGAAGAATTCACATGCTGAAATGAATTTTGTGGAAGAGTCTGCGTCACTAATTACACTTGTCGTAATTTAAGATTTAGTACTTTCATTTAGTTCAACATAAAGTAAGTCTTTTAATTTTTTGTGATTATTCATTCATATATTCCAAAATTTTTTACAATATTATCCTTGAAGGTAATTTGAAGTTTTTATTAAAATATTCCTTTTTATTGCGTTAGGTGCGTTTGTAGGCATTTTAATATGGTGGATTTAATAGCGATCAAAGAATGAATTTTAGTGCAAGACAACCCTAAATTATTTTTGTGGAAAGTTCGAGGAAACGGAAACAAAACAATATTTAATGTACTTTATAGTAACCGCACTAGTAACGATAAGTTACAAGTTATTTTGAGCAATTTACATGAATGTGGCCAAAATATCAAATCGTGCATAGCTTATTATGAAATGTGAAATAATTCATGATAACTGTGAAGTTACTAAATAAAAGAAAATTCAACTAATATTATTGGCTTAATTTGGGGTGATACAAATATAATAATAAAAAAAAGGCCTGTTTCTAAAATTAATTACTTTATGCAGCTGATTAACCTAGCGTTTTAACCGATAGGTTTGTCGATTCATCAAATAGGTGTTATACCGGCTCACTAATCACCAATATAAGACAATAAGATTACTGATATGCCTTACAAAAGACTTAAATGACTATTTAGATCAATTTATTACACTTAACAATAAAATAATAATTATATTCCTTGTATAAGATGACCGAATTAAAAATTTACTTGATCAAAATTTTATCGATGTCAAGTTTCGCCAGTGCAGTTACACAAGATTTAAAAATTATAGTCATTGCCTAACTCGATTTATTAAACAACAAGCAAAAGTAGTTTGTTTTCTGTTTCATTTTGTGTCGATAATGACTTATAAGAAATAGATATAAGTGATCGCAACACATCGCACATATTTTTTCGTAACCTATTACAAAAAAAATTATGATGATCGTGATTTCCGGTTTGTGCAACAAAACAAAAATCATAAAACGAGATATAACAGACAGTTACACTTAAATTTTCCTATAAAAAGTTAATATGTACCTTCACATTTGGTTTCTGTTATTAATTATTAAATGTCTTACAAAATGAGATATGGAAATAGCTATTGACTGAATTGCCTGAGTTTCATATTATATCCAAATATTTCCTTTGTTCAAATATAATGAGAATCCACATAATATTGTTTGAATGTATTTCTTTGTCTATTGTATCACTTGTATCAATGTTTGTATTCCTCAATGAACTTTTTAATTTTCATTTACGGAATAAGTATCAATAATGCAATTGAATGACACTTTTAAAATGTGTAAAAAAAGGTTGTAGAATTTTCTTCATACGATATTTGTACATTATTCTGAAGAATATGGCAAGCCTAACTTGATTTATTAAAACAAAGCAAATGATACCCAAAAATTTTCGAAGCATAAATTTTCTTTATTATGCTATTATATGTGCACCAAAAAAAATTCATACCTTACACAATCGACCTTATTTAACAAAATGAAATATGGAAATAATTATTGATGGTGAGGGGGCTGAGTTTCAACTTGAATTTCACAACGACGATGGAGAGATCATCATTTCTATAAATGTATCTATTAAAAGGTTGTCAATACTTATAAAAATTTCATTTAAGGAATTAGTTTTTGTTACAGTACAATATCTGAAAAGAAGACAAATAATGAAAAGTAAAAGTGGGCTAGTGAGAAAATTTTTTAATCCGGGTACTTGCTTGAGTTCGCGTTTAACATTAAAACAGATACACATTCCATGCAGTGCAGGGTAATAATTTACCCCTATTAAGCTTCATCAAATTGTTTTCATCAAAAAAAATGTTTTTTTTCCGTCGGGAGAATATTACCTGAAATATGTATATCACAAATGCTCCACATAAGTTGTCTGTGGATAACGGTAGAATCATGTCTCGTAACTTAAAACGAAGTTCCTTTTTTTTTAAAAAAAAAATAATAATAATAATTTAGACTATTTAGTATCATATTGAATTGTAACTTTGCCGGAGTAATAACCCACTCAATTTGAAGATTACCATTTGCCATTTTTAAAAAATTATTATGTAATAAATTATTTAATAAAAAATTTCCTTTTTTTTTTTTTGATATTTTATTGTAAATTTAGATGAATACTTTCTATCAAGTAATTTTATCACTTTATAAAAAATTTTATAGGGCAAATAACATGAATCAGCAAGATTGGTGATACTAAATACAACAAATCTTTGGTATCATTTAGAACGTCATCATTAAAATAAAAATGAATTTTTTAATAAAGCAACGAGTGTTCCTGTGAATGAGTTATGATTGGTATAAAGCCAATACAATTCGCGTGGCATTAATCAAATTATTGTACAACCAAAGAACTTTAAAATTAATTTAATGCTTGAATTTAGACGTTTTAAAGATTAAAGCTATTAATTAATGATGAATTATTAAGGATACTTTGTGTTATAATACATTGACAAAGAAAAATATGTCAAACAATATTTACTATCAATTCCATTTTGTAACTATTATATTTTCCTTATGATTTGATTGGTCTCAATCACGTAATCGATTCTAAATATTTCCATATTTGATTTTATTAAACATTACTATAACAAATATGGTAATCTCTTTAAGATTCCAAGTCGTCGTGAAACTCAAACCTGAATCTCAGCCACGGAAACGGAATTGGGCGTTCTTCATTCGAGACGTGATCTTATTCTAAATTCCCACGAAATATATATATCTTTTTTTACCGAACTGGGATACTTTTTTTTTCATTTGCTACACAAACCAAAAAACAGTCTATAGAATTTCCATGTAATACTACAAAAAATGAGTAAGTGTGTAAGATAAATTTATTTTTTTGTAGCACACTGTAAATCACAAGCAAGAGAAATTGCCATATTTCGTATCATCTATTAGTAATTCTGCATAGGTGCATCAAAAAAAAAAAAAATTTTTAAATAAAAAAGTGATAATATGTCATTTGTACACACTATTATCTGGATGCAAAATTCTCAAAGCGTAGCTTTTCTTTGTCTATCATGCAATAGAATGTACGTAAAAAAATTTAATGGATCCGAGTTAGGCAATGGCTATAATTTCAAAAATCAAGTGTAATAGACTTCCCTTATTTTATTGTTTTATTTTAACTTTGATAAGATGGATAGCAATATAGCAATTACCATATAATCAGATAACGTTACAAATGCAATTTAAGAGACGCAGTTTCGATTAGATATGTTTTTATACTTGCGTTTATATAATTTGATTGTTACATCATCTGAAACTCAAAGTGAAACTCAGCCAAAAAAACAGTCTTATAGATATTCCCATATCTCATTTTGTAATACATATAATTAATGAGCTATTATTGTTTTTTACGGAAATCATAAGCAAAATTGTACCGTTAAAGAAATTGCCAAATTCCGTATCATTTATTAGAAATTCTGCAACTTAGGTGCATCAAAAAAACTTTGTTTGAAATAATAAAGTAAAAAAGTGATGATACAATTGTTCAAAAATATATCATGCATGGCAATGATGTATCCAACGTTCAATGAATCCAAGTTAAGCAATTGCTATATTTTCAAAAATCGCGTGTATCCACCATAAAAAAAAGAAACAATAAACAATAATTTTTATTTCGTCATAATTGTTACACAGTAATTATTATGTTTGGTTTGTTTATTGAATTCAACAATAAAATTTCATGTGTTACACCAAAACTATTGCTAATCAAATCATTTGCTTTCAAAGATTTATTGTCAAAATAAAAACATAAATTACCTAAACATTTAACATTGAAAAATAAATTTGGAAGGAATAAGGTACAAGTCGTATTTGATATGAAAAATAATTAAGCGGGTAGGATTCACGCGCTGATTTTCATCATACCATTGTGGGTATTTCCGATAGTATCAATACTTGATTCTAATAGCAACATCCATGTTAGTCCTTATTCTATTATAACCTTCTCGATGCGTATAGAATTTAACGATCCAGTATACTAGAAAATTTTGAACAATTTTTTTATCACCTTAGAAGGTTTATTTATTTTTTATTTTTTTTCGTTGATGTTTGTTTCTTTAAAAAATTTCCTAATTGTTTATTATTTTTATTATTTATTTTTCTCTTACTATTTATTAATTTAGAAATGATAGCAATAAAATCTTGTTTCTTTTTATACTTTTTTAAGCGAATTCTTATAGGTTGTGCTGTATATCGACAGGTCACATAGGTAAGTTTTATTCCTTAGATTTCATTTCGGGTCGGCTGGTTTCAGAAGCATGCGAGGTATAAATATTATTAAATTTTATACTTTTCAGTTCGATTGCTTCTGGCCGTAGCAAACTAATATTTTGTTCTTCCCATTATTATTAATATAACGGTTATGCCTAGTTAATAAGTTAGATTTGGTATTTCTTATCCAATCAAAAACATAGATTAATTTAAAGAAATTTATAAGGTGAATTTTTAAAATGTAATGTAAAACATAAAAATGAAATGTTATGAATATCAGTTAAATTAAAAATAAATTCAAATAAATTCAAATCATTAAAAATGATTTTAAAAGGTTTATCTGTTGAAAGAAAATAATTTGCATTTTGACAAAGTAGTTCAGTTATATAAAAAAATTAATCTGACGTGAAGTACAAAGGATTATTTTTTATTTATTTATTTATTCTAAAATTGTACTAAATAGTTATAAAAAAAAAATTTAGTATGTATCATTATGTGTGTTATGTGTTCATGGAATAATTGTCAGCGTTTATCATATTACAGATTTTCACGTTACACATTTTCTGGTTTTTATTAGTAATGGCTTGATTTGCAACTTTCTAAAAAATTCATAATTTCGTGAAGTTTTTTTCCCGTAAATCATTTTGTTGATTAAATAAAGCTGTCTCAGATGCCTTTATGTATTGTATTGATCTTTTGATAAGGCATTTAATATGTAAATCAGTTAATGATACTATTTAAATTTTTTCAGCAAGACAAGATGAAAATTGCTCAAATAAACATAATTAAATTACGGTCAAATATTTTAGAAAGTTGATAAATTTTCTGTTGTTTTAAAATAAATTAGTACATTATCGCGTTATTTTACAATCGATACTACCGACCAAAGTGAACGAAAATGGAAAGACAATATATTGTAGAATCGATTCAATTTATCCATATTAATTAGTCTGGAACGAAGTGAAAGACTATATATTTCTATGCGTTGCGCTGTGTCCCGATGTCCGACCGTGAGAAATTTGAGTCGATACGTGACTGGTCTCTTTCATTACAGACTTAACAACGGTTTCCGAAACGTTTCCGAGTTTATAGTGAAATTATATACTATTTTATTTTAGCTTTATTAACTAAAAAATTGATCATAATATTAATCAATACTGCTGATATATTTTTATTTTTCAGTAATTAAAAATTCCACAGCCGATCATTATATCGGTTTTGCATATCTTCCGGTCATCTTTTTAAGCACAAGTTATCTCTTAATGTAATCAAATTCATTCTAATATTATGTAAGAATACAGCTTTGTAAAACCGAAATTACACCTGTTTGAGGTGCAATTTGTACCACGATTTAATCACCACACGCAAGAATCTTGGCATTTGTTTGACGCAAAGTTAATCCAGTTAAAAGAAATAATAGTTGAACAAAATAAGGGTTTATAACATCGAAACATAAAGAACGCTATAATAATCAAAGGAGATTACTCATATTAATCAAAAAATCGGGTTTTTCTGTAGCTTAAATGACCGCTACTTTAATTGCATTGCAGTACTTCCTAATGTAAATTTTAAGAAATAATGGAATATATTTTTAGTAAACGGAGAGTTCGTTATATCGAGTTCTGACTGTAAACCTTTTTTTTTTAATTTTATTTTTTTAATTTTTTTTTTGTAACAGACTCTTACACTCTGTATACTATAAACTCGAAGTCCTTTACTAGAAGCAATAGATCACAAATCACATTTCGACTACACTTTCTTGGTTCCATTAAAAAAATACTGTAAGTACAATAAAAAATGTTCTTAATCTTAATAAAATTTTAAGATGTTATATGTAAAAATAATCATTACATGTATATTTTAATAATATACTAATAATCAAAATTTATTATATTTTTTTAAATTTAAAGATGAATAACAAGATTAAAGAGTATTGTAATATATTTGTACGATAGTATAAAGATTATTTTATTTTGTGTTTTTGTATTTTTCATGGAATATCATTTATAACTACACGAAAATTTTGCAATCACGAGATTATTTGCCGATCATTTCCTAAAATAGAAACGAAGAAAATAGAGACGAATCGAATCTTGTACATTTTTAAAATCGCGATCCCATCTCATGCAAGTCCAAAAGATGTTTAATGGTTTAAAAAAAAATTGCTTTCTTCCATATTTATATATAATCTGTTGATCTATCACGGGATTTCATATAATCGAAAATAAACAGGAATATTATTTAAAGGATATTTTTCGTATTTTTCCCTTCAAGATCAAATAAAAAAAAAATAAGATAATTATATATTATATATTACAAACTCAACTTTATATCATAAAAAAAATGCCTATTGGCGACGACAGCTATCATTGTGTTTTCAAACCGACGTTCCCTTCCAATTTAACAATAAATGAAATTATAAGTGTTATTAAAGCACCTAGCAATAATCAAAAAGCAAAAACATTTCCAAATGCTTTCATCGCGTATAAAAAAGCATTAATTAAAGAGAATCGTATTAGAAACATTAAACTACCTCCAATGGGCAAGCTTTCTAAAATTGCATCATATTATTGGGATGAAGAACCAGAAATCGTAAAGAAATTTTACAAAAAGTTGTCCGAGGATGCTAAATCTTTGTATAAGCAAAATGGGATTCAAATCATATTTGATAAACGTATGAATGAAGTTGAAGAAAGCGGGCAGGTTGGGCAGGTTTCACGTGTGACAAGTGAAATTAGATCTGACTCGGATTATGTCAATTATACCCAACGTATTGAGGTTCCCGTTGAGTATATAATTAAAACACAAAATTCAACAAGTGGGTATTTTCCGGTTGAAGATTATTCTGCCAGCGTTATGAATTCTTTCCTTGGCAGCAATCCTAATAATAGCTCACAAGACAGTTTTCCTAATAGTAATTTTTTCGAAGACGCGTATAGAATAAATGAAGTGAATATTAACCAAAAGGATAATAGATTTTTTACACCTGCAAATCATGTCAATACCCAAGGCATTGATGTTCCCGCTGAGTATATAATTAATACGCAAAATTCAACAAGCGGGTATCTTCCGATTGAAGATTGCGTTATGAATCCTTTCCTTAACAGAAATCCTATTAATAGCTGTTTTCCTAACAGCAGCTTTTTCGAAGACACGTATAGAATGAATAAAGCACCTATCGATCAAGAGGATGTTGGATTGTTTACACCTCCGCGAGTTGCAAATCATGTCAATTATACCCAAGGCATTGAGGGTACAAACTTTACGCCGAATACGTATCTTCCTTTTGAAGATTATTCCACTTGTAACCCTTTCGAAGAGTATGGAATGGAACATAATTTTAATGATTTCGTATTAGTTGAAAATAATCAAGAAATTGTACAAGTTTCACCTTGTGACGCAAAAACGAATTGCATCAATTATGGAACTGTGGGAGTTCTTCCCGTTGAAAATATAATCACGAACCTTTGAACTGCAGACATTTTAACGCACCACGACGTTACTGAATAGTTATATTTTTATACATTGACCGTGAAAAATAGAACGAACTTCTTAAAATTTATTTATTTTAGTTCTATCATCGAAATTCTTAATAATATACAATGCTATAAGTAAACATAAATTAAATGTAATTTTTTTTAAGCTTGCATTGCAGAATTATATTTGAAAACTTTTTTGGTTATAAATAATCACATTTATTTAAAAAAATTTAAACATTACTGTCTTATACTTATTTTATTAGTCATTTTATTTAATGAGACTTGTGATTCTTCTTTCACTTTTTCTACTAATAAATCAATAATTTTTTTATTTAAAGTATATCATTATTAATTATATTTAAGGAAATAAATAATATATTATTGTCATTTATTTATCTTAGTTCTTCTAGCGTCTTTATTAAAATGTGTCAAATTTAACAATTTTTATACGGTAATCCCAACTATTTATTCGAAAATTAAATTACGACTCTCTAAAGTATAAAATTTAACCATTTAATGATAAAGATATTCAAGTTGATTAAACTACTTTTTAAAATTTCTGTAAAACGATAGGATAACAAATAAAAATTTTGGCTGATTTGATTTTGTAACTCCGACCTAATTCATCAAATCCTAAAAGCGATTTTTTTAAAAAAAACGTAACTTTAAAAATTACTCAAATTTAATTGTAAATCCTAAAAAATTAAAACAAAATTTTTTTTAACTTAAACACCATTTCCGCAGCTTGGTACCAGCGTAACCAATGAAAAAATGTCTTTGACAATTGTCCTGGCGATTATTGCCAAAAAAAAAATGTATACATAATCTAACTCACCATTACATTCATCATCAACCTAAATAAAAACAAGGTACATGTAGGTCGTATTAATGCTTGATTAAATTTGATGCAAATTCCAAGTGGATATATGGGTTATATATACTTGAAGTATATAAATAAGAATGGAAGAAGCAAATCAATTCTTAGTTTTCGTAATAAATAGACCAATTTTTTTGATATATTTTTCGTCATTGGAAGTGAACCGTACTTTATAAGTGATTTTTCTGCACAAAAAAAAAATTTTTTTTTTTTAATAATTTTATATTGACGATCACTCAAAACGATTATTTTTTTTTGGTTCAAGTAAAATTGACTCGGGTCTGACATGGTGATCACCTTATTTTTTGACAATTGTCAAAAAAAAAAAAAATATTTTTTTAATAAAATTTGACTCTGGTCTTACTTTGTTCCGGCAGGTTTTTCCATAATTATTTATGTATACTTATTATTTATCGAAAAGTTTTAAATTATCTACTATTTTATGTGAAGCATGATGTTTCGAGGAATATTTTTGTAAAAAGAGCTACTGTTACCGCAATGGATAGATAATTATTATAATTAAAATCTCGATGCCGCCATTTTTACTTAGAGACTACATATGGAAGGTTTGCTAGAAAAATGGGATTCTTTACATTTTAATCTAATATCATCAAAAATTAAAATGCAATAAAAATTAAAATTTTATTAAAAAACTCAGAACCCATTTTCCTAGTAACCTTCCATATAATTCTAAAGAATTATGTTTTGAAACCAGAAATGTCGTCATTTAAAATGCATTTAGTGGGTTAATAAAAGCCTAACCCCCAGTCTATTTTATGGACGCCCTCTTGAACTGATCAAAAATTTAATAATTAAATTCGTTAGTATGTTGGTCCATTAAACCATGCACTACGCCTAAGGAAAACTTTCTCAATAACAATCCCTACTCCAAATAAGAAGTTTAGCTAATACATGGACTATTCTCCAGGGTCGGAGGCAATTGATAAATAGTTGAGAGCAAGACACATTTCAACTGAACCTAGCCTACCTCGATTAACCCACAATCATAATTTCGGACGATAAGCAGGCTTAGCAGTCAACAATTCTGCTTGAGTTTGATTATCGAAGCAAACAGAACAGCTGATGTTTAGTACCATATTATATTTGTAAATACAGCGGACATGGGTAAAAATCTTAACGAGTAGTCAAAATAGGGATTAGACCACCTCAGATAGGCCAGAGTCCGGTTTAATATTCTAGAACTGGGTAGATGTAGGTGTGTAAACCGGTTAGACCAGTTATCAATTTATCAATTTTTTGATTTTTTACATTAAATCTATATGATCAGTTAAATAAGTTTTAATTATTAAAATAATTAACACAAATTCCAAATTTGATAATTATGCTGTTTATATTGATTAGAAAAAAATTATTTTGCGTAACCGAATTTGAGAAAATTATTTATTGTGTAAATAAAAACATTAAAAAGATCTAGGCTTTAACAAATTTATATATAATTTGTCTTATTTGTCCTATACTTTGATTTCTGCTACATCTATTCCAAACAGATGAGTCTGATGCAGAAGATACTAAGAATCTATTTAGCACCTGAAGTAATGAATAATTAATTATTTGAGAAGAAATCGTTTACATTGTAAAGTTTGGATTAATAAATAAAAAATATTCAAGGAATAACTCTGGAACCTTGCCAAGAAAGAAGTTGTAAAAGAAGTAGAGGTTGAAACCGGTTAATTGACCGGTTAAGACGTTTATCTTGTTAATCGGTTAAAGATTTTTTTTTAACTGGTTAAAATATCTAATATTAATTCTGGCCGCCGAAATTTAATTTCGGGCAGAATTAAACTTTTTTTGTTATTACAAAATTTCGATAGTTTTGCCCAAATTTATAGTGCCGGCCTGAGTTAGATTTAACCGGTCAATTAAACGGTTAAAGAATTTTTGAGCTGGTTCCAACCTCTAAAAAGAAGAAATAGAAATTGCAAAGATAGGGATTTTTTAATTCTTTTATAGTTTGGTATTGCACATTATACTTATTTCTTGTTAATATTTTCTAGAATTCCGTTATTGTAAATGGGTAGCATCGGTAAATATACATTATGAAGATTATCATGAGGCAAGCACTCAACTCGTTAAGTGAAATTTATCTGACGATGGGATTAATGAGCCTCTAGCTACAAAAAAGTGAGAACCGCGAAATAAACTAGCTTCTTCTTCCTAATCTTGTATCATTAGTTTTAGTTATGCATTCTTAACCAAATACATGTGGATTATCTCGAAATCGCATAATTAACACATGATTTTATGTTAAGATGATGCATTTTTAGGTATTCATTTTTTCAATGATTAAAGCAACGTGGTGAAGATTTAATATTGTATACAATTTGTTAGATTTATTGATTATTTCTTCTTTTGAATAACCACCAAATGAGTGTTTCCTATTTTTAAAGTCGTATGATTTATTATGTCTTGTTAATAGAAAATGACACAAATTATACAAATTATTACTCTTTAAAGTAAAAAAAACTAATTAATTATAACTTACTTTTATAATGTATAATGACATTTCTAACAAAGGCAAAAGAAAATGTAATTTTGCTTGTAATCATTTTAAATAACTCAACGGTAAGTGACGGTTTGATTACTCGTTTATTCTGATAAAGTATTCTGTAACGCAACAAAATTTTAATCTGATGAAATTAAATTAAATAATAAAAAATAAAATAGTAATTAGAACCTCATTGGTTAAGGGAGTCAATTATAAAACTCTTTACTCCTAATGTAAAACTTTGACAAATACAAAAAGTCAATTTATTAAATAAATCAATAAAATCAATAACTAAATTTTAATCACAATAAATTTCTTAAAGCAAAAATGAAATGTTAAATTTGCTGAACATTTATTCAAAAAAGAAAAAATCGGAGAATGAAAAGTGATTCTGTGCCGCGCTATCTCATATCACTCGGCAATTCTCTCAGCCGTCATAAACGGCAAATTTCCCAATATATATACGTAACATTAAGTTGGTTAAGGCCAATTTAAGAATTAAACCCGATTCCAAATTCACTATTTATGTTATTTATGTAAATTTTCATATTCAATATTAGCCGTAAAATAATTAAAGATAATTTGTCAAAATTACATATCGATCACGTGAGAACGATTTAAAACCAAACAAAATTCGTTACCGTTTAATTTATACAATCAGTTCAATTAGTTTTTTTTTTTATGAATTAAGTTAAAAATTAAATATAGCTGTATTTTTGTTTACCTTTTGCAAATTTTTTTTGGAGACCCCTCTTTGTTCTATTTATTAACTTCTGGTATAAAGATACATTTTTGATGATCTGTTCTGTATTTATTCACTTTTTCGCTCATAGTTAGTTGTACAGATCTTCATCATATGTACTGTACATGCCGCCACTGGATATAACGAACTCTGTTCTGGAGGGTTTAGTTCAGTATAGGATGAGTTCGTTATATGATACTCACTCTATATTATTATACTGTATTAATAAAACTATTTCGTTATTATTATAATTAATTCATACATGTATTATTTAAAAGTTATGTCACTCTCGGAAATTGACTGCGCCTAAAATTGGATTTCCGCAGTCCTGACGATCAATTTGCTGATAATTCTGGCATATCAATTGGAATTGAGTTTTCGGTGATTTAAGACACCTCGATATGATGGTCAAAATGACCGTTTTTGATATAACGAAACGATCAATAAGTAATCCTGCCAAGAATTCTATAACTAAGCCATGGGATTATAAAAAGAAGGGTTTTTCGTCTTGCTTTTTGATTAGAATTAGATAGTTTTCTTTTCTATTTAGGCCTATTACAGAGCGCCGACAGAGGCAGTAATAGTTGCATTTATTATATTATTTCACAAATTCATTTAATAAATTTATTTCCTATTATTCTTTATAATAAAAACTTTATTAATTCAATTGACATATTAATTATAAATCACCTCTTTACGAATTTAAGAGGTGATACGGACTTTAAACAACATGATCCTATAGGGATACCCAATAAATAATTTTATTAAAGATCAAGAATTTAGAGAGATATAAAGTATATAAAGTAATTCCAATATATCTTATTAGCTGATATCTAGATGAACTAATTCTTGAAAAATTAATGAAGTCATTAATCTTTTGCTTAGAAATAAAATTTATCAAATGTTTAATAGAAAAAATGGGGAACTATTATTTTGAGTGATTAATTCTGAATATCAAGATATATACTGATTAAAAGAAGGTAATTTCATGTATTACTGAAGGACACCATTCTAATATCAGCTTGATATATTGTATATACTGAATATGATCGATTGATATCTATCTGCCATGCACGATATAAATTAAAGAAATTTTATAAAATCTATTCATACCTGCTAATTCTTATAAACATAATAAAGCTTTATGATTTTATAAATTACATTATTAAAATTTGCAATATTGCATGTTTATCGATTAAATTATTTCGTGGTTAGAAAAGAAAAGGGATAAAATTAATTATTACGTAATAACATAATATTGGGAATCAAATTAATTCTGGAGCCCAGAATCAACCAACAAATTTGATATACCCAATATAATAGACGAAGTGACGAATAACTATTAAATATATTATTGGTAAACAGATATTCATAGTTTTTGATATATCTAACCTCAAGTATATTCACACAAAATTCGCCCATATTATACTTTCTTCCAATAACTGCAATTCTATATCCCCAATTTCATTATGTAATGTATTATGCCTTCTCATATTCTAGGCTAATATCTTACATGAATCGATTTGAGAAATCTCTGTTGTAGCTCATCTTTGACCTGTCTTTCTCGTGATTTATTCAGCCAGATCTGCAACAAAAATATCCCACAACAAATCAGATATGTAAATTTTTTCCGTTTCATGAAGAAGCGTAACTTTGAAGGGTATTTTTTCTGATCCAAGACTTGTGTTTCTAGTTTAACGAATTCTCAAAACATCTAATTTATAAAAATTTGATCAAACTTCTCAGAGAATAGTGGTTTAAAATATTGTAAAAGTCTATTATTATACGCTCTTTTCCAGGCTTTCTGGAAACCAAATTTATGAACATTTCGGCGATCAGGTAAAAAGTTTGCGCGCAAAAAATTCGAGGATAAATTCAAAAGAATTACTGACAATACTATCAAATAATTTACACGTCATTACATCGCATAACCGTGGAGAAAACTCATCAATAAAATTAATATTCACGTGTGTATGAACAATTTTTCACGTCAACCAAATTGCAACAAATGTCTCAATCGGTAAGGTAAAATAATGTAGCAAATTTGGATAGAAACCGATCGTTGTAAAAAGGTGTAATCTTATCTAATCGTTTATTTAATGCCTGATAATTAATTATAGGTATCGTAAACGCTATAAATGCCATTATCATTAATAGCTCAGCGAAAGTGATAAATTGCGATCTTCAAATCTAGGTCGATTGTTGAACTCCAATATCTAAAAAATAAAAAATAAGTTGGGTAAATAAAATACTACAAAAACCATTGTCACGGTTGAATAACCAAAGAGGCGTATAAACGGTGATTTTTTTATGATAAAACTTTGACTTTTCAAATCCTTAATCAAGTTTACAAGCCTTGTCCTTGGTTTTAAGTTATACTTCGTTTAATATGATGTAAAAAATTAGCCGAAGAAAATTTCCGTTTTTTTTAACAAATATTATCATTCGAAGATGCGAGCTCTTATCGCTAATATTACTAACTACGAGCTCTCACAATCCATTCATATATACAAAATTATCGCTATTTATATCATTTACGCCTAAATAAAACATGCAAAGGATTAATTTCTGCAAGAGAAATAATAGAATTTCGAACCTATATCATAATTCCGAGATTATTATAAGTATATGCCCATAATTTCGATAAAACTACACAATGCTTCCACCCTTACCAATATATGTCATTGTCATAGCATTCCATTCTGCGTCGTGATCAAAAGATTTATTTCTCAATGCAAGTTTTCGATATACTGCGCCAGACTTTTGCTGTGTATCTCATAATACGTACTACGGAAGTAATATAGTGGTTTATGGTTAAAAGTTTGATCAAATCAACAATATTTGAATCTGCTATTTTCAAATAAGATATAAGATACAAATGCACTGGCTTACTGGTACATGTAGAAAATACATGAAAACAAAGAAGTGAACACAACAATGGTAAATATTTGTTTTATTTTCATTTAGCACCCTCAAATAATATTTATAAACAAAAAAAAGAAGGGTTCGTTACACATGTAGAAAAATTATTTATGATATTATAAAGTATGGGATATTGTTTTACCAAAACAACATTTCAAGCTTCTGTATGCTGAAAATTTTTTTGATCAAGAGTCTACAATTACATACTCGGAAGTGAATTGAAATTTTGGAAGTTCATTCAAGTTAAAGATAAAAAAACAACAAATTATTCATGATTAATTTTAGCAAGAAAAAAAAATATTACAAAGCGATGTCACTCCTATACGTCTATGGAAAAAAACAATTTTTTTTTGGATGACATGACCTTAAATAAGAATAACAAGTCTGAACACAAGTCATTTCAGGTTTGCTAAACAAATATCACATAATATTGTTCGCAAGAAATGTTTTTTTTTTTCAAAAAAAAAGGAACGAATAAAATAGGTTTTGTATCATTGAAGTCATTGAAGTTGAGGAAAAAAAAAAGTTTGATTAAACCGTAATGGTATGTATAGTTCAACCATCATATTATTATACTTTTTGGATATCTTGCCCGAAAAAACTTTCAAAACAAATTTTCTGTTGTTATTCTTTTTCTTATCAAATTACATCGAATATTATATTATGCATTAATACAATCTCAATAATATTTTGAAATCTTTTTTTTTAATTAAAGTTTATTAAATAAAGTATTTCAAAGACAAAGAATTCACGGAACTCACCCGCGATATGTAAATATTTGTTTTTTTAATATACGAATAATGTGTGACAAAATACCAATGGCCAATATTTTTCTATTTCTGTTCGTTTTTGGATAGAAATGTTTTGTAATGTCATTTTTCTATTGGCTTGTCATTTGTTTTCGAATGATATTTTGGTTGACTGACCCTTGCTCAATTGATCCATATATTTATGTGGCTTACAGTAAAAATGGTAAAAATTTTATAAAGCAAATTCGAATTTGGATTAACCGAGAGAAGGCAATTCACTATGGGGATGGATTACAAAACACGGTAGTGCCACTGTACCATTCACAGTACGATTTCAATATGTCCTATTTATTAATACTTAAGTGATTGAAATAACATTATTTCAAATCTAAAAGTTTCGCGAATGACGTTTATTTTGTGGCGCAGCTTTTGTGGCGTCTTTTAAAGACATTGGTTTTTTCACCTTTTTTTATACCGATTTAAGTTTTTTTTTTTAAAAAAAATACAATAAAACTCTCTAAATGCAATTTTATTGGGATCGTATAAAAAAAATGGCAGGGAGTGCATTTTGAAAAGAGGTGCAGTAAAAATAATTAAACTTATTATACAATGCATTTAGAGAATTTATGTAGGGGGTACATTTTATAGAGAGAGGATTTATTTTACAAATGAATATCAAATAAACCGAAAAAAGGCGAATGCTTAATCGTTGTATATTGATTTAAATAAATAATATTCAGTTAAACATTGACATAAATAATGATAATTGAAAATACAAGAGACGAAAATAAAAATTCTACTAAATATAGAAAGAAAAGTTCGCACATTTATATATATTGGGAAAAGGGACCAAATTGAAAATTTTATTTCAAAGGAAATTATCCAAAAGGATTCAAAATTAAGGATATATTTGCTGGACACCGGACAGAAGGCCCGGCCATAAAGAAGATTTTAGTGGGCAATGCTTAATGTCGAGAAAAAAACAGTTAAATAAAAAAATCCTTTTACGTACTTTAATTTTTTTTTTTGTTTTTTAATTAAAGGATTATTAGCGATAATATTGATAATATTCAATGTTTAATAAAGAGTTCAAATTAAAAATATGTTTTAATTGATGAAATGGTATAAATTGGCAATTCATGTGTAGTATTATATCGATATAATAGATAAGTAATTGCTTTGTCGTATTTGTAACACATTAAAATATGCATTCATTTCTTTGTGCAAAAAAAAAAAAAAAAATTGCAAATCAATATTACATTAATTAATAATAATTAAAGTTTCAATAATATTAAAAATGGGTGAAGGCGTAAAAACGCAGAGGACTAAGCTCAAAGTTAATTTTAGTTCATTTATAAATAAATATATCGAAATTAGTTATTTATAAAAATTTTATATATGCGCAGTTAAAGAACGCGCTTGAATTAAAAAAGTTTATTATCAAAAAAAATTTTTTCCAAAAACTTTTTTTTTTCCATAAACGTTAATGAATAATTAAATGAGAAATGTCTCACGTATACATACTATTATTGTAATAATTTGGATATATTTATTTTAATTATTATATATATATATTTTTTTTTAAAAAAAAATTTTTTTTTGTGGTTCAAACAAAAATTAAAAGCAAATGCCGTATTCCAATAAATAAGCGTACAATAATGTAATAATATTGCTAACCTAACACCAAAATGATTAATATAACGAAATAGTACGGTATTTTGATTTTAAGAATTTATAAAGAATTTAACAGTAAAAAAATAAAAATTAAATAAAAATCGTGCGAAAAAAATTTCGGTAAGTAGAGAATTTTCGGTAAAGTATGTTTTTGGTCGAAAATAAGAAATTCATTCATTTCAATTCATGCAATTCGTTTTTATGTTTACAAACTCATTAAATATTGTTACATGGATATTTGATACAAGATTTTAAAACAATTAAAATGATTATATTTTAAAGTTCAAGTTCATGCAATTGATTTATTTAATATTTACTTCAAATGATACAATATGACGAAAAAAAAATTTTTTTCTTTTTTTTTTTATTAAAAAAAAAATTCCTTTTTTTTTGAACACTTTTAGATATGTGTAATATTAACTTGATAAAAATTCGTAACTTCTTCGTTACACATTTGCCATTGCTATGGTTTTAAACATATTTATCTCGAAACTATTAAATTTCCCCTTTGTAAAAAAGGTGAATCGTAATACAAAATTTAGATTTCTCCATCGAATTGACGAACATTTAAACGAAATTGTCCTATTGAGGAATGAATTAAGAAGATATGGAAACAAAGAAAATGAAAATTTTTCATTGGTAATTTATTAAATTTTATGATTTCCTTCTTCGAGTTTACTAAAAATATTTTAAAATGATTTGTAAAGAATGAAGAATCTTGATATATATTACTAATATGTAAAAAAAAAAAGAATTGTTGATCACACCTTTTTGAGATGAATATTAAATGGTCAAGGAAACTGTTGATCTACGCACTTTTTTACTAATTTAGGAATGAATAAAGAAAAAAATATGGGGTTTGTGTAATAGAAGGTTTTCGATTTGTCTAATTATTATAAAACTTTTTTTTTTCAAAATTTTCTCATTGAATCTAAAAGAAATCAATTTCGGCTGTCATGATAAAAGCTTATATCCAGTTAGCGTATTATAATAGAATTTGTTTATGCAATTTTGTAATATCAATGTCCCAAAACTATTTTTACATCAATCAAATTTTCATATACTTTTCCATATAAATCTGTATCCGAATAATAAAATATCTAATGGACGACTTTTAATAGACTCGGTTTTCTTATTTTTAGAATATT